GACAGAGACTGAGAGGTCCTCCATCCGCTGGTTCACTCCCCAGCTGGCTGCAATGGCCAGAGCTATGGTGATCCAAAGCCAGGAGCCAGGACTTCTTCTGGGTGAGATTCAGTTTTTGTGAGGATTGTTGATCTTGGACATGTAAATAGAGGTTGGTTTGGAGTTATCATCTGTTATCAAAATACCACCGTCAATCATTGGAGTCAAGCTCATCAGTGTTGCAAGGAATCGGCTCATCACTGCCAGATGACCACAGTGTTACTACAGGGTGTTCACACTTTCACAACACGTACCTTCAGAGCCTGCCTGGCACTGACTGTCCTCTTAGTCAGAGGACCTCTCTCTCTCTGCCTCTCCTCCTCTCTGTGTAACTCTGACTTTCAAATAAATAAATGAAAAAATCTTTAAAAAATTGAATCTCATGAAGAAAAGAAACTTAGAGTTCACAGAAAAGACCTCAGGAGTCAATGATATGAACACTGGATACATTCCAAATCCAAGATACCAGATTAGAACAGTGATCAAAGAAAAATAATCTTGTCACTGGTGACACACACACACTGGATAGTTATCAGAATTTAAGTCGTGTGATATCCTACCAATGGCAACCAAAGGAAAGAAAAGTTGATGCAGAGTGTTGATCTTTCCAACAGAAACAAACAAATGATTATTTTGTTGTTGTTGTAGAAGTCAAAGAAAAACCTGTGTGCCTAGTTTGTGCTGATGCATTAGCAATAATGAATAAAAGCCAATCTGGAGTATCATTACAGCTCAGAGCACACTAAACTCAATGAACTGGGAGGCCAGATGCATCTGGATACAACCCATGCTCGTGGGGGACAGTGCTGTGGCGCAGAAGGTTAAGCCTCTGCTAGTGGCAGTGGCACCGGGCATCCCATATGGGTGCCGGTTCAAGTCCCAAATGCTGCACTTCCACTCCAGTTTTCTACTAAGGGCCTGGGAAAGCAGAAGAGGAAGGCTCAAGTGCTTAGGCCCCTGTACTCATGTGGGAGGCCCGGAAGAACATCCTGGCTCCTGGCTTCAGATGGGCCCAGCTCCAGCCGTTGCAGCCATTTGGGAAGTGAACCAGTGGATGGAGGACCTCTCTCTCTCTTTGTCTCTCCCTCTCTCTAACTATTCCTCTAAAAAAAAAAAAAAAATACATCTTAAAAAAAAAATCAATGCTCTTCAGCAGGGTTTGGAATCACAAGTCAGTTTCACGGGGCCTCCTTTTGACAGAGACATTATTTGGATGACTTACGGAGTGAGAGCTAATCACAAAGAGGCTGAGGCCTCTGGAGGGAGAGTTTGTGAAAGAATGCATGGTAGCTGCAGTGGAGTTACTAGTGTCAAAGTAAAACCACTTCTGAGTGTCAGCTAGTCTTGGAGAACAGTCCCAGATCGCATTACTGATTTAACACAGATGCTGAAAAAACACCAAAGGGGGCCGGTGTTGTGGTGTAGTAAGTGAGGCCACCACTTCCAATGCCAGAATCCCATATGGTGCTGTCCTGGCTGCTCCTCTTCTGGTCCAGCTCCCTGCTAATGAGCCTAGAAAAAGTAGTGCTAAATGGCCCAAGTGCTTGGGCCTCTGCAACCACAGGGGAGACCCAGAAGAAGCTCCTGGCTTCAGGCTTTGCATCAGCCCAGTTCTGGCCACTGCGGCTATTTGGCGAGTGAATCAGTAGATGGAAGATCTCTCTCCCATACTCGCTCTCTCCTTTTCCCTCTGTTTCTCTACCTTTCAAATAAATACAAATAAATCTTAGAAAAGAAAAGAAAGAACACTGAAGGATTCTGCAGGAGATTTCCATTTTTCTCCACTCTGGCTTGTGACAAGACAATGGACATAGCAAAAACTGCCCAACTGGCCATCTTCATTCATGGGGTAACTGCAGAGTTTCCTATGCAAGTGGAACTGCTCTTCCTGGAAGCCACCCATGGCTTGTGGAGGACTTGTTTTAAATGAAAAAACCTAAATTAACATTTGAAAAGTTGGGGCTGGTGCTGTGGCACAGCAGGTAAAGCCACCACCTCCAGCATCCCAAATGGACACCAGTTCAAGTCCCAGCCGCTCCACTTCCAATGCTGCTCCCTAATGCATCTGGGAAAGCATTGGAAGATGGCCCAAATGCTTGGGTCACTGCACCCACCTGAGAGACCTGGAAGAAACTCCTGGCTCTTGGCTTTGGACTGGCCCAGCCCTGGCCGTTGCAGCAGTGGATGGAAGATCACTCTATCTCTGTGAGTCTTTCAAATAAATAAATAAAACTTAAAAAAATTTTGAAATGTTAAATTAAATGGCCTTACTACAGATGGAGTTCCAGACATGGCTGGCTCACCAAAAGGGTAAACTGCGTTTGTCAAGAAAGAACTGAACCCTCTCAGCTTTGATTCAAGAGATTTAATTCTATGCGACTGCATCACACACCAAGAAAGCCTGTGCACGGTCACTGAGGCTCAACAATGTGACGTCAACAGTAGTGTCACGCGTAAGTTGTGTGAAAAGCAGAGAGTTTAAGAGTCGCTAGTTTAAGGAGTTACTGAATGATCTTGACTCCGAGTGTGGTGATCTTGTGTACCACCGTCAAGTGCAGTGGCTGAGTTGGGGGAACATGCTTATGAGGTATTAAAACTGCAGGACGAAGTCAAGCAGTTCATGGAGATGAAGGGAAAACCTATGAGGGAACTCAATGACAGCAAGTAGCTGTGTGAGCTTGCATTCATGGAGGCATTGCTAACTACCGCTCAGAGCTGAATAGCAACTGCAGGATCCAAACCAGCTTCTCAGCTCCCTGCTTGCAAATGTGAAATCATTTAAAGCTGGGGCCAGTGCTGTGGTGCAGTGGGTTAACGCCCTGGCCTGAAGCATCGGCATCCCATATGGTGCTGGTTCGAGACCCTGCTGCTCCACTTCTGATCCAGCTCTCTGCTATGGCCTGGGAAAGCAGAAGATGGCCCAAGCCCTTGGGTCCCTGCACCCGCATGGGAGACCCAGAGAAAGCTCCTGGCTCCTGGCTTTGGATCAATGAAGCTCCAGCCATTGCAACCAATTGGGGAGTGAACCAATGGATGGAAGACCCCTCTCTCTCTGTCTCTGCCTCTCCTCTCTCTGTGTAACTCTGACTTTCAAATAAATAAATAAATCTTAAAAAAAAGAAAAAGAAAAAGAAATCATTTGAAGCTAAATTAAGGCTGTAGAAAGTGCAACTTGAAAGGAATACCAGTGCATTTCCCCACCTTGGAAGGACAAAGGCCTTCTAGGATACTTGAATATGCTGGTCAATGAGCCAAACTAATTGAGGTAGTTAATGAAGGATTCAAGGAGGTGAAAAGTTAACAAATGGAACTGAACATCTTTGCTACAAAGTTCAATGTGCAACCAGTTAATGTGCCTGATCACCTACGATCTCCCCTGCTTGAGTTTTATAAACATTAAATAAGTAGTGATGAATTTCCTACTTTGAGGTGATGCACATTAAAATATGCATCTGTACTGGGAATAACTTCCTGCTACAAGCAGTTCTTTTCAAAACGTATCACTGCAAAGAGTCAACCGTGCCCCACAGTGACCAACAAACATCATCATCAACTAGTATCACCCACTTCAAAGAGAAGCAGTTCCAGCTATCACCTTAGGTGTGAATTAATGAAATGTTTGACCAAATACAGCAAACCAATTAAAAAAATTTTATTTATTTGAAAGGTGGAGTTACAGAGAATAAGAGATAGAAGCAGAGAGAGAGAGATCTTCCACCCCTAGTTCACTCCCCAAATGTGAGCAGCCAGGGCTGGGCCAGTGTGAAGCCAGGAGCCTGGAGCTTCATTTGGGTCTCCCATGTGGGTGCAGGGCCCAAGCATTTGGGCCATCCTCCACTGCTTTCCTGACATATCAGCAGGGAGCTCGGTTGGAAGTGCAGCAGCCAGTACTTAAACAGGGGTCCATATAGGAATGCTGGTGCTGCAGGCAGCTGCTTAACCTTCTACACCATAGTGCCAGCCCCATAGACCACAGACCATAACTTGTATGGTCTACAAATGATGTTATAAATATCTAAATGGCCCTTGGCAGAAAAAAGGTTCCCCACTCCTGCTGTAGATGTTTACAAAACTATCAAGATGTTTTACTTAGTTTCCTAGCAAGTAAGAGCTACTATTTACTGAGCCTGCCCGTGTTCCAGATCCCATATTAGGTAATTTAAATTAGATTCATTATTTGATTCACTACTCACAAAAAGCTTATGAAATAAGTAAAATTATTCTTAGTTTACAGTTGAGTAGTCTAAAGATGTTCATGAAGTTAGGTAATTTCATAGCAAAGCTAATGGAAGAGCTGGGACATGAACTTAAATTTTTCTGAATCTTTTCTGTATTACACTAAGGTGTTTGGTGTTAATTAAACCATGTAGCTTCCATTTGCATTCAAAGAATGCCTATAAAACATAGATACACTAGGTAAAAAAAAACATACAGAAGTATTTTATTTTTATTTAAGAATTACTCATTTATCTGAAAAGCAGAGCAACTCTGGGAGAGGGAGAAGGAGATGGAGAGAGAAGTAAGGAAAGAGGGAGAGAGAAGAAGACAGAGAGGGAGAGAAGACAGAGAGGGAGAGAAAGAAAGAGAGGGAGAGGGAGGAAGGGAGAGTAAGAGAGAGACAGATCAATCTCCCATCCACTGGTTCATTTCCCAAAAGGACCTCAACAACCTGGGCTGGGCCAGGCTGAAGCCAACAACCTAGAACTCCATCCAGGTTTCCCACATGCCTGGCAGGAAACCAAGCACTTAGCCATCATCTGCTGCTTTCCCAGGTGCAATAGCAGGAAGCTGGATCAGAAGTGGAACACCTGGGATTTGAACCAGCATTCTGATATGGGATGCTGGTGTCAAAGGTAGCAGCCTAACCCCCTGTACCACAATGCTGGCCCTATAGAAACATTTTTAATGTTACAGATACCTGAGTTTTATATACCTGGTATTTTAAAAAATTGTGTACCTACCTGTGTGAGATCTTGAAGATTCTCAATAAAAGAAATCTCTGCTTCCACCATATAAAACTCTGCCAGGTGTCTCCGGCTCTGGGAATTCTCAGCTCGGAATGTTGGGCCAAAGGTGAACACCTGAGCGAAAGCTCTGCAATCCAAGATTGAGAGTGTAAAAATAGGATCCACAGGAGTAGCTTTAACTATTTAAAATATTCTGCAAGCTCTGAAGAGTTTCATGCCTCTGTCTTGTCCACAAACCCACATATATTAGCTACTTTATTTCTCTAATGGATGATAATAATAGTTTCATTAAAAATGTTACATTTATAGAAACCATTTTATCCAAAAGGAATCTGCAACTGCTTTACAAACCCTATAGTTTACTAAATATAGAAACATCACCACTTCTGGGTACACTCTACTGCAGCTGCCTTAAACAGCAGGCAACTGCATTTCATAGCAATCAAGAACAAAGTAAAGGAAAAATACCACAGCCCAAGACCTAGATGATGAAAATTAAAATTTATGTGGAAAAGGTGTGCTCATTTATCTTTTTAAATACATGAAAAATGTATCAGATACGCTGACAATTCACCTTATTTCAAGCCTACTCAAGTCCTTTACAACCACCCAAGTCGGTCAAAAAATGCTGAATGACCCCTGAAATTCAGGGGTGAGGAAAAGTTTTGAGGAACTATCTAGTTTGCTATCTGGATTTCTAGGGCCAGAGCCCAACCCCCACAATGTATTTTTAAATTCCCACAAGGAAGCATACATGGAACCTTCATTCTAAGGTTTGTAGCTGTCTTCATAGGGAAACAGGGCAACTGAAATCGAGCACATGAGGGAACTTCAAAATGTTTGTGGAAAAATGGAATTACAACATAAATTTATTTTGGTGCAAGTTCAAAATCCATGAATAGTCTTTTCATAAAACAAATTTTCAATGAATTTTTTGACAAGCCCTTGTATGCATGGATCTCAAAATTTTTTGCATCAAAATAAACTTTTTAAAAAGATTTTTATTTATTTATTTGAAATTCAGAATTAGAGAGAAAGAAGGAGAGGCAGAGAGAATCCATTAGTTCACTCCCCAGATGGCTACAATAGCTGGAACTGTACCAATCTGAAGTCAGGAGCCAGGAGTCTCTTCCAGGTCTCCCACGTGGGTGCAGGGGCCCAAAGACTTGGGCCACCTTCTACTGTTTTCCCAGGCCAGAGGAGAGAGCTGGATTGGAAGTGGTGCAGCTAGGACTCGAACTGGCGCCCATATGGGATGCTGGCACTGCAAGCAGCGGCTTTACCTACTATGCCACAGTGCCGGCCCCCAAAATAAACTCTTAATTCTACTTTTCAAGAACTTTTGGAAGTACCCTTGAATAGGTAGTAATGAGTATTTCTTGAGGGTCTAACCTTTAAAGGTTTGCAGAGAAAAGCAAGAGGTTTGAGGCTCCCTAGCTGGATCCTGAGCATCCTTCATTTGTTTGTCATTAAACAACAGTAATATAAAAAAAAAAAAAAGATGGATTCTGTATATCTCTATCTATCTATATACATATACATATTTGCCCATTTAAAAAAAAACATTCTGGGAAATTAAGCAGTAAAATAATTACAGTGGGAAAAAATTCATTTTTTTTCTTTCAAAAGGCCATTTCAGTTAAGACCCAGTTGGTAAGAAGCTTAGGAATTTAGGAATTTCTGTTTTCATTGTACTGCCACCTTCCTGAGACCATGACCAGTTAGCCTCCAAGAACCCATTTTTGATGGGAAAAAATAAAGAGTAGGAACTAAACAATACCATTATGGTTTTTTGTCTCCCAAGATTTCAAACCTAGACTTGCACACTAGAATATTCCTGAAAAGACTGAATCTACCTTGTGCAAGACAAAAACCCTTGCTCTGCTTTCATAAATAATGAGCATACTGCTTTTACTTTTATACCTCCCCCCCCCCCAGCTTTCTTTTTTTTTTAAAGGATTATTTTTTATTTCTTTGAAAGACAAGAGTTACAGAGAGAGGTAGAGCCAGAGAGACAGAGGTCTTCTGTTCCGCTGGTCACTTCCCAAATGACTGCAATGGCCAGAGAAGCCAGGAGCCAGGAGCTTCTTCCAGGTCTCCCATGTGGGTGCAGGGGCCCAGGGACATGGGCCACCTTCTACTGCTTTCCCAGGCCACAGCAGAGAGCTGGATTGGAAGTGGAAGCCTCTGGGACTTGAACCGGCTCCCAAATGAGATGCCGGCGCTGCAGGTTGGGGCTTTAACTTACTACACCACAGCACCAGCCCCCCAGCTTTCTAATCTGTTAATTCACCCAGTCACCCAAGCCAGACCTCATGCGCCTCTAAATGCTCACGTGTCCCACATCACACGGATCACAACATTCAGTTGTTTACACCTTGGAAAACTCTCTCAAATCTCAGGATTCTTCTCCAGCTCCACAGCTGCCGTCAGTGTAAACCATTGTCGCTTGCTTGGAAAAATAACAGCTTTTTAACTGGTGCCTGCCATCTGTCTTCCTCTGGCCCCAAACTACTACAAGTTTGCAAGCTCAAATCTAATTACATCAGCCCTAATTTAACAATCTTCAAGGATTCCCCACTGCCAAAGGAAAAAATCTGACTCCTAATTTGGACTCCAGTTTCCCTCACATGGCCTTTTCCCCCTCTGACCTTGCATCCAGCTGCATGCCTTTAAGCCTCTACATGGCTGTTCTCTGCTCTGCAATGCTCCTCCCTCCCCTGGCTCCTTTCTCTCTAAATGGCAAATTCTCATCCATCCTCCAAGTTTTGGCTTCACTTTCTCTCTGAAATCTTACCACACACCCCCAGCCCCTGCTGAATAGAATATAACCTTCTCCATATATTTATTATACAGAACATTTTGCATTGAAATGTAATTATGTAGTTAAAGCATTTTTCTCCCCCGAATAAGCTATGAAATTTTCCAGAACAGGAATCATGTTTTATTCATATTTGCATTGCCAGTGCTGGAGATAAAACAGGTGTTCCTGCTGAGTGAATGAGTACTAACGATGATGACAGTGGCTTCCTCAGTTGTAAACTGGAAAAGCACAACTTCCTCACAGTGACATTACAAATATAGCAAAATACTCAGACACATTTGACTGACATCCTTGCTCAGTATCTAAAATGGGTCAAATAATCTAGATGTGTCCCAAACAATAAAGTAAAAAATCACAGGATCTCAAGTTTCCAATCTGTGACTATACCTTCTCTACATATCTTGGCAACAGTGTGAAGGCACTTTGAAAATTTCATGGCAAATGGATTTTAAAAAGTTTATTTTGGTGCAAGACAATTTTGAAATTCATACAGATTTTTCATAGTACGCATTTTTATAAACTTTTAGAAGAGCCCTTGTATTTATGGATTTCAAAGATTTTTGCACCAAAATAATTACCTTCTAATTCCATTTTCCATTAACATTTAAACATTTTATTTATTTGAAGGGGGCAAAGCGAGAGACAGAAACAAAGATGGAGCTGTCCTGTCCACTAGTTCACTTGCCAAATGCCCACAACAGCCAGGGCTGAGCCAAGAGTGGGAACCCAAACAGGTTTCCCATGTGGATGACAAGCACCCAACTGTTCGAGCCATCACCTGCTATCTCTTGGAATGTGCATTAACAAGAAACTGGAATTGGGAGCAAAGCCAGAACTTGAACCCAGGCACTATGATACTGGAAGCAGGCATTCCAACTGGCATCTTAACCACTATGCAAAATGTTTTCTTCAATTTTCTATGTACTTTTAAAGTATCCTCATACATTTAAATAAATAAAATGACACTTCTTTCCAGGACTGCACTGCATCTCAAGAAACTACACATACAAATGTTAACCAACATTCAATGTTAACTAACAATAATTGTATATATGAATGTTAACTTATATAAAATGACATTTCTTTCTGGGATTGTATCATAAAAATTGTATAAACCAATGTTAACAGCAAAAGATATTTTACTGGAAACTTCCAAGGCATACACATATATGTGGCATAGTTGAAATTTATTTTGGGGGCCCTGAAACACAGTGAAGGCTTATCTAAATGGTGCTCAGAAGAGACCTGCTACTTGTCATGAAGTACTGAGTACAGACGAAACTATAGTTTCTAAAAAAACCTTCCAAATTCAAATCACAAGGGCATCTGCTTCTCACATGGTAATTTCATGTAGGATGCTCCAGAATGAGTAGCAATGGGGATTTTTAAGAAAGATTTATTTACTTATTTGAGAGACTGAAAGAGAGTGAGAGTGAGAGCACTGCCACCCACTGGTTCACTCCCCAAATTGCTGCAACAACTAAGGCTGGGCCAGGTCAAAGCCAGAAGCTTCTTCTGGGTCTCCTACTTGGGTGCAGGGGCCCAACCACTTGGGCTGTCCTCTACTGCTTTCCCAGAAACATTAGCAGGGAGCTGGATCAGAAGTAGAGCAGCCAGGACTCAAACTAGATTCTGTAGGCTGTAGCTTTAACCTGCTGCACCACAGCACTGCCCCATAAAAGAAGTCACATGGAGGCCAGCATTGTGGCCTAGTAGGTTAGGCTACCTCCTGTGATGCTGGCGTCCCCACATGGGCATCAGTTGAAGTCCCAGCTGCTCCACTTCCAATCCAGCTCCCTGCTAATGTGCCTGGGAAGGCAGCTCACTGAAAGAAAAGGTCCCTCCTTTATATCTTTTAAAAAGGTTTATTTATTTTTTGAAAGGCAGACTTAAAACTAGAGAGGAGAGAAAGATGGAGACAGAGAGAGTGAGAGACAGATCTTTCAACCGCTGGTTCATTCCCCAAATGGCTGGGGCTGAGCCAGGCCAAAGCCAGGAGCCAGGAGTTTCTTTTTGGTTTCCCACATGGATGCAGATACTCAAGCACCCGGGTCATCTTCTGCTGCTTTCCTAGGCACATTAGCAGGGGGCTGAATTGGAAGTGGAGCATCTAGGTCATGAACCAGAGTCCATATGGGATGCAAGTGTCACAGGAGGCTTAACCTGCTATGCTACAATGCCAGCCCCCCTAAATTCATTTTTATAGCTAATAAATAATGTATTATTACTTATATTTTTCCAAAATAGGAAATTGAAAGTCAGAGAGGTTAAGAAGCTTCCCCAAAATCACAGTCATAGCTTAG